GGGGCGAGGAAAGCGGGGGCCGCGCCGCTTCGATTTCCTGATAGATCCCGCCGGTGCTGCCATAACCCTAATGAAAGCAGTAAGCAGTTAGGTATTAAGGGAGATTTATGCAGGGATGCTTTTAACGTGGAGGAATGGATTTTGCAATGCATACGGCACCTTCTTTCTAAAAGCAATCAATATGGTTACGAACGGCCGTTATAAATTAGGTGGTTTAAGCCAGATAGGGCTTTTTTTACACCGGAACGTAAATCAGGGGCTCTCCGGCACGGCAGGGCTGTAAATCTGCTCCTGCACCCGCCTTGCCGGAGTCGTTGCTGTTCTGCCTGCTAAACTCCTGTTTACCCGGCGCCATCAGCATCGCTTTTCCTCGCTGTAATTTTGCACTCGGCGGAGGGTGATAAAATGAACCCACTTAATTCCTTCCTGGGCCCGGAGCTGGAAATCTCCCGTCTTTTGGAGCCATGCCCCGACACCGGCCCCAGAGCCATGTGGTGACGGAGGGTGGCATTTGGGCTGAGAGTGCAGGAGCCCCTTGGCTGGGCAGGGAGGCAGTTTGGGGATTCAAGGGGTTTGTGGCATGGCTGTGCTTTGGGGAACCCCTAACACACAGGTTGAGCTCCGTGCATGCAGGTTGTGCCCTTGGAGTTGGAGCAGGACCATGTGATGGGGTTTCACCTGTGCCCGGGTGCACAGGCAGTGGGTGCTGGGGGCGGTTTGGTGCCCACCAGTGCAATTTGGCCTCCCCAGCACCCAAAACCCCACAGCCCCATGCTCACCTCTTGGTTTCTCCCGCCCCGACCCACTCCTCTGGCAGTGACGGAGACTCGGACGTGGACTCGGAGCTGGAGGAGCGCGTGGACGGGGTGAAGTCCTGGCTCTCCAAGAACAAAGGCTCCTCCAAAGCACTCTCGGATGACGGCAGCCTGAAGGGCAGCAGGTGGGTGCTGGGATGGGCATGGGGCTGTGCTGGGGGATGGGGTGAGCACCCATGGGATGTGATGCTCTGGGTGCTGCGTGGCTGGACAAGGAGGGCAAGCGGCTTGGTTTCCATTGTGGACACATGTCCCCCCACTTAAGGGGACCTCCGTGATCCCCTCCCCAGCCTCCCACTCACTGCAGCACCAGGACCCAGCCTGGAGGTACATAGGCATCTATAGCCCCCCTTCCCCCCACCCCATCTGCCTCCCCAGGGGGTCACAGTGGTGGGCTCCAGCCCTGTGCGTCATCCCCTGGATCCCCAATCTGTTCTCTCCTCCTCGGCTGCTCCACTGCATCCCTCCCCATCTGCTGACGTAGCCCCAGCAAAGGTGATGGGGGTGGTC